ATTGTTCTATTTTTCATTAATTAATTGTTATAATTTATATTTATGTTTTTATGTTTTTACCTTTCTCAATTCATTAATCTTTTTATTTTTTTGTTTTTTTTTTGTAGGTCTACCATTAGATCCAAAGTTTTAATTTCATTTTGATTCACCTGAATTGTGAGTCTCCATTTTTATAAATATGTTCTCACTTTTTGCTAAATTTTTATTTTAAAATATAGTTTAGGAAAAATTATAATATTAATTATTGATCAATTAATTATGATTGTATTGATTAATTGATTATTAATTATACTATTTTAATTAATTAATTAGTAAATTATGATTATATTATTTAATTGATTGATAAATTATGATTGTATTAATTTATTATTAATTAATTCATTTGTTAATTATTATTATATTGATTAATTGATTGATAAATTATGATTACATTAATTATATTAATTTTTAATTTACGTTTTAAATTATGTCTAACAAATTATCACATTTGATATATTATTTATGTGGGGACATGAATTTTTTTAATAAAAATGTAAGGAAACATTTCAAATGTTGAGAGGTTGGCATTGGATGTATCATCATTTAGATGAATGTATCATCATTTAGATGATAATGGCATGGAGTTCTTTCTGAATTATGCATTTTTCCAATTCAATCCAGAATTTTGTTATAGAAATTGCATTAGGTGCCCTTGCAAGAAATGCATGAACCGAGAATGGCATCGTTGTGTTGCTGTTCAGTGTCATCTAATAGAAAAAGGTTTTATGAATGAGTATGTAATTTGACTTGCACATAGAGAGTAATTAGTGCAAAAGAGACAACTTCATCAGTAGGGGAAATTCTCGAGTGCCACTTCTTTTGTGATAGAAGAACTAGGTAATGATCTAATTAGAGAAATGGTTATGAATGCAATGAGTTCTTATGGTATAAAATATAATGTGAATGAACAAGGTAGTGATGAGCCAATCTTTGAGGAGGTAATAGGAAATGCAAAGGAATTTTTTTATCTTTTGCAAACTACTAACACGCCACTTTATGATGGATGTGATAAGGATGATATAGTACTCAAATGGATATCTCATTTTATGTATACAAAGACACTTTATAATATGAGTGTGGTTAATTGGGATTATATGTTAAAGTGTAGTAGGAGATGGATTAAGCTAGAGGATTGAGATAGGATTCCAAAAGATTTTTATAGTGCTAAAAAGATGATGAGGTACTTTAATCTAGGTTATAAGAAATATAATGTTTGTGTAAATAACTACTTCTTATATTATGGTGAATAGAAAGCAAAAATTACATCACATGTCCAATATGTGGTGAACCTCGTTATAAATAAGGATGTGTGCAACAAAATCAACTTATACCAAGGAAGTCACTGTGGTATCTTCCAGTTACACCTAGACTGACAAGGTTGTATATGTGTAGAAAAACTGCTGAGCACATGACATAGCACCTTACTTGTGGTGGTGAATCTGAAAAGATTGTGCATCCTGCTGGTGTTGAGGTATGGAAACACTTTGATCACACCTACCCCGACTTTGGGTTTGATCCAAGGAATGTAAGGCTTGGGTGCATAGATGGGTTCAGTCCATTTGCACATACAACAACCTCGTACTCATGTTAGCCTACCTTTCTATTATTTACAACCTACCTCCATCCATGTGTATACAACTAGAGTATCTTTCTTTCTCTAATAATACAAGGCCCTCAAAGTCCAAGAAAAAACATTCATGTCATGATACGCCCACTGATTGTGAATTAAAGGAATTTTGGTATAATAGGGTTAAGACATATGATAACTTTAGGCATTAATATTTCATTATGAGAGTAGCACTTATGTGGACAATTAGTAACTTCCTTGGATATGGCATGTTATCTGAATGGAGCACACATGGTAAATTATCATGTTTGTATTGTAAGGAAAATTCTAAGGTATTTCACCTCTCAAACGGTTAGAAGATATCATTTTTTGATTGTTAACAATATTTTTTACCCCTCTAATCATCCATTTAGGAGAAATAAGAATGATTTGAAAGAAGGCCATATAAAGAATCTTGTTCTACCAGAGAGATTGTCAAGTGATGATATGTTTCGACAAATTCAGCAATTGCCCAATATACTATTTGGGAAACCATCCCAAAGGCAGGTGATTGAAGAATTTGGAAATTAGCATAACTTGGTTAAAGGTAGTACCTTTTGGGAGCTTCCTTATTTGAGCACAAACTTAAATGTAATGAATTATGAGAAAAACCTTTTTGAAAATATATCTTTCACACCGTCATGGATGACCCATTGATGAAGGACAACTTGAAGGCAAAGATGGATATGGAATTGTATTACAATAGGCCAAGTCTTTGTATACTAGAAAAAGGCTTTAATGTGGGCAAAAAACTAAAGAGCACTTATGTCTTAAAGAGGGAGTAAAGAAAATCAATGTGCTAATAGCTAAAGAATCTTAGATTTCCTAATGATTTTGCATCCAACATCTCTCAATGTGTGAATATGCAAAAGGTGAAAGTTAGCAGAATGAAGAGTCATGATTGTCACATATTCATGCAAAGTCTCATTCCAATTACATTTTGAAATTTTCTCCCAAAACAAGTTTGAGAAGCACTTACAGAGATCAATGAGTTTTTCAAAACCTTATGTTTTTCAACCATTCATATTACAGATAAGGAGATTTAGCATATGAAGATCGTCGAACCAATATGCCAACTTGAAAGAATCTTCCCTCCTTTTTCTAATTCAATGGAGCATCGAACAATCCACCTTCCATATAAAGCTAAGGTGGGGGGACCAGTGCAATTCAGTTGGATGTATCCATTTGAGAGGTATTATTAGAATACATAATTTTTTAATATTTTATATCTATAATATAAAACATAATTTTCCTTTTAATTTATTAATTATTTAAAAACTTATTTTTCATGAATTAGATGAATGCATGGATTAAAGGCTTTAGTGAAAAATAAAGTCCATCTAGAAGGATCAATATGCGAGAATTACATAATGAGTGAGATTTCATACTTTATCTTGCTTTATTTTGAAGAAGAAGTTGAGACAAGAGGTGATCACATCCCCGAGAATCTTATTAGCCTAGGCCCTTGTGTTAATATTGACCTTTTAATATTTAATAATCCTAGAAAACTAATTGGTTCTTTACAACAACGAGTATTGACAACAGAGGAGTGTAATACTGCAATGTATTATATTCTAATGAATTGTGAAGAATTGAAGGGATAGATTGAGTGAGTACATTTCCCTAATCCTTTTCCTTAATGACATTTAAGAAATTAAGTGAACTGTTTTAATTTACACATAATTATAATGGATACTTAATTAAGTTTTTTTGAAGAGGAAGAATGTCAAAATGACTCCCCAATAAATATAGATAAAATGTTCCAATTATCTTGTGTCATGGCTTGAAAAATTGTTCAGTTCAATCCTAAATTTTAATTATTGTTAAGTAATTATTATATACTTATAACTAATAAAATAACTCATGTGATATAGGTTTTATATGATGAGTTTGAGGGCAATGATGAGCATTTGATTAGCTTGGCTCGTGGCTTTTCTGAGATAGTTTCATGCTATAAAGGTTTTTGGGTAAACGGTTTTTGATTTTACACTGCCACATATGGAAAAAACAAGAAAATAATGAATAACAATGTGTATCATGGGAACTATGGGAATATAATTAGATTTGGATTTTTATGGGTTGTTGTAGGAAATGATTGAGTTTCAATATGTTGGCCTCAAACATCAAAAGGCGGTTGTTTTATTTAAATGCAATTGATATAAAATTCCTCTTGCACAAGGAATTGTGGTTGACCAAAAACATCTTCTTGTTGATATTAATCCAAATAGAAAATTGAGAACTTATGAGCCTTTCATCTTGGCAAGTCAAGCTAAACAAGTGAATTACACTTCATATCCATCACATAATTCAATCAGGAATGGATGGGTTGCTGCAATGAAATGCAAGGTTGGAAGTATTATTGAGATGTCAGATGAGTAAGAGGAACAACATTATAATTTAGAATCCATTTTTCAAGATGATGACCCTTAAGCTCCCTAACCAACCTAGTTAGATCTCATATTATATGAACCTATTTAACATACTGATGGGATGTAGAATTTGAATATGTGGATGATAACAAAGAAATTGAGGAAAAGGATAAGGAGGAGAAAGAATTTGAAGATTATTATATATCTGAGGAAGAAAATATCGAATATATTTCTGAGAGTGATAGTAGTAATTAATTAATTAGTGACCCAATGGACTTTACTATTATTTAGTAGTGTTTGTGTAAGGTATTTTATAACACATTGGGTGATATGTAAGTATATTGATATAAAAGATAACTTAATATAATGTTTATTAATATGTATAAATATTGTCTTTAAATTTCATATTCAATTTAATTTTTTTAAAGCATAAATCTAATGCTTTTTTTTCAATCATATACAAATGTAGTGTTATTTTTTAATTTATTTCTTTGTAGTGAATTGCTTACTTGGAGCTTGTAAGGTTGACAAGGCCATTGATGTTGCTCCCCAAAGGAAATCAATCACAGGTAATTGGGTCTTCAAGTACCATTGTTAGGGAGACCCAGGGGGAGACATTTGGTAATGGTAGTGACATTGACTCTAGTGCACCCTCACCTCCTCAACCTGAAAGGGGGTGAAGTATTACAAAAGCCCAAAAAAAGCCAGAGGATCCTTCCCAAAAGTTGAGCGTTGGGAACTAGGATAGGAAGACATTACCAAAAAAGGTTCAAAAGGATATTTCAATCATCCATAAGTTGAATATATGTGATATATACAGAAGGTGGCGCTCAATTTCTCATAAGCATAAAGAAGTGTATTGTCATGCTTTTTAGGTTTGTAATTTTATTGAATAATTTATAATGACATTTTTATTTATAAATGTGCATTTTCTTATATGAATCAATTAATATATGAATAGATTATACATATATATATATATTTTAGAATAAATATAGGTGGGACCTTGTTGAGGATGGTGCTGTACATATAGCATTTCTGCATGTTTGTGAAAAATGATATAATTGAATGATGACTAATATTCAGGCTTTATGTAGAAAGAAGAATTTTATAGAAAAAAAAAAAAAAGGCATACATGTTTGATGAGGTTTGGGAAAAACTAAAGTACACATTAATGGAGGACTCGCAGTTCAACGTGTATAAAGAGCAAGCAAAGCTAAATCAAGTTAAGGGCCCCAGGTAACCCACACAAGTGGATCTATGGATTACAATAACTTTGTGCAAAAATTGATAAAAATGTTACCTTTATGTTTTAAATTTTATGTCATAATTTATATTATAATTAATCTTAATGTTAATTATAATGTTTGTGTGAATTAACATAGTAATTGAATATGTGATATTATAGAAAGAAAAAGATCCTGAACATAGATATCCATCATTCGTTGATGTGATTCATGAAAAAAAAATGCACCATCCAAAGGATAAAGATAAAATACCAACTTATATTGATGAGCAGGCTTGGAGGTACATTATGAGTATTATTTTTTTTACTATTATTATTTCTTGAAAGGTTCATTTAAGTGATATTTTCTTTTATTTTTATTCATATTAAAAAATTATTTAAAA